CCTGCGCCCGCCCACAGGGCCCGGGGCGGCCCGCGCTGGAGGGCGTGAGGCGGGCAGCGAGCTACATGCGGGGTCCCGAGCAAACGCGGGTTTTTCGTCCTCCTCCTGAGGAAAACCAGCCGTGTGGTGAATCGTCCCTTAAAGACGTCACTTGACTGGACTGCGGTTTCAGTTTTCTGGAGACCCGGACAGCTACGCATTCTTTTAACGTAGCCGAAGTCCTTGTCAGCAGCCCGTATGCTGCTTCAAGCACTGCTTCGGAGCCACTTTAAAACGCGCATCCAATGCCCACCCTTACGACCAGAATCCACCGAGAGGGATGACTTCTGGGTCTGGACCCGGCACCGTGAGGTGAGGCCTCACCACATGGCAGAAGGGCTTCTGCTGTGGTAAACCACATAGCCCTGAGCCTCTTCTGGCTGCCCAGAAGTCTTGTCTGAAGCCTTTCAGGGCTTCCAGCTAAGTTCGTGTACCCGTCACCCATTTCAGAACACTTACTCAGGTTGTAACAACTTACATTGCAGGGATTATAGGGCAGTTTATTCTCTCATTTTTATGACAATAGTGAGAACTATCTTTAAGATGAACTCTGGCTAAGAGAAACAGAGGACAGGTTGGCCAGCAGGATCCCTGCAGCAAACGCAGCTTTTTCTAGCTCTGTAGAGTTCAAAACCGGCTATGCTGGCATCAGAGTCCAGGAGGCTAAGTTTGGTAGTTGGCATCAGCAGTGAAAGCGCTGGTGTGTGCTCTTCAGTGGGTAAATAACTGTGCTGTGGACTTTTGACTATCGGGAGCCAAGCTCATTGCGTACGAGCCCCTAAAGAACAACCAGTTCTCTAGTCAGCACTATGCTAGGCTATACCCAAACAAAACGAGGTGGAAAACCCTGCATCCTACATAAAAATGCAGGATAGGCTGCTGAATATCAGTTTCAGTAATGCTGGAGGTACTAAAGGTGTTCAGAAAACCATAAGATGGCTCAGCTATTAAAATATTTAATTTCAGCAACATTTCTGTCTCTCACTTCATTGCTCTCTGACTCTATACTGCTTATCTTTAAAATCCATGCCATTCAGCACAATACATTAATTTCATGCGTGTATACATAATCTATACACACCTATATTTCCGTATTTCATTTTAATCTCATGCATGTTGTGTCTGCTTTAAAGTAAAGCTCTGGTTTTGTTCTTTATAAAATAAAGTGTCCTATTACTCATATGTGTTTCTGAGCTTGAGTGTAGTACAAGATGCCAGCTCTTTCATCTGTTCAAAAAGGTATGTGTCTGTATGGCATATAGCCATAATTCCTAGGTTTAGATATTTTGATGTGTAAATCGGGAAGTGCTTTATGAAATACAGGAAGCATAATTTATCCCTTCTATGAAACCAGGATGCAGGGAAGTGAAATGACATAATTAAGGTGCTGTAACTGCTTGTTAGTCAAACTAGAAATACAGTATGAACTGGTTCTTAGTCCTGGCGCTATTAAGTCTCCATTCAGGCACTGCTGTGGTTGCTGAAGGTGTCAGGTCAAATGACTAAGATGGCAAAGCTATTGTTTTGGGGGGGGTTCTTCATTTTAGTAGCATTTTTGTATCTTACTTCATTGCATCCTGTAGGAGTCTCTTGCAGCACAGTACTGTTTTTTCTTCTCATATGACCTAAGTTATGTTGTGAACCATATCTTAACACAGAACATAAATGACTAATAAATTTGTGAATAAAAATACTTGAGCTAAAAAGCTCACGTCAGCAGTTTCTGAGTCAGCAGATGTCTCGTTTATTATCCAGAAACATGTCAAAGTGCCCTTTATAAACCCACAGAGCTGATCTGTATCTTTGTCCACTAGCAGGCTTAGAGGACAGATTGAGACTGGCTACAAAGATCAGCTTCTGGAGTTGAAAGGATTCCTAAATTTTTCTCATCTCCCAGAGTATTTTCTTTTGATTAGTGAAAACCAAAACATTTTCCTGAAACAATGAAGAAGACTCTCGGCAATTTCCCATTATAAAACAGTACCTTCTCCATCTCTGCCCTTGACAGCAACAGGATGGAAGGAACAGAGAGAAAGGGGAAAATAAACCCTGCTGCTGCAGCCAGAAGTTGTGGGTTTGAACAGCTAATTTTGTTTTGAACATCTACATGAGTCATCACACTGTAATAGTCACAGCAAAGAGGTTGTTGAACCTGAAGTAACAGCTCTTATCTCACAAAAATGAGCTTCTCTGGATGGTGCTTACATCTTCAGGTGCACATCTGCCAGCCTATATACTGGCAATATGCCATTCCTTAAGAAATTTACAGTTATATATGGAACACAGTAGACAAAACTACATAACTGGCAGTTTTGCTGCTCGCGGGGCTTTTTTATACTCACGCTGGCATACGTTAGCTATTGAGACAGCTGGATGCACACTGAAAAATACAAATGTTACCTGAACTCATATTGAAGCCAGACATCTTGAGAAAAGGAGCCTCTGCACCTATACTCTGCTACATAGCCTGAAATGCAATCTGAACTGTGTGTTGGGGTGGGAGAAAGTCAGATGCCATGTCTTTTTTAGAAGAAAGGAGAATGGCTAGGCTTTGTGACTGTGTAAGGTAGGGCTAAGGGTTCCCCTCAGGTCCTCCTCAACCCTGAGAGCTAGGATGAGGGCTGTGCTCAGGACAGATGTGCAGTTCAGTGGGCATTTGGGACTGCAGGGCAGCCCCTCATTTGTCTGGCAGCTTAGGGGGCAAGTGAGGGAAATTATTTCTTTCCAAGCTGGAATTCCAGAGAGGCTCTGCTGAAGCCTGAGAGATAGGATGAGGGCTGGGATAAGGATGCAGATGAAGTTCATCACGAGTTTTAAGCTAAGAGTGACTCTCTGAGATCTGCTGCAGGGTAGGGATAAGTGAATTGATGTCAACTGGATGCAGTCTGTGAAATACAGAGAGCTACCCAAGTCAAACTAAAGCTAATCTGAGAATCTGTTGTTAGGCAACTAAGGCCCTTCAGAGCAGGATTTCCACTAGAGAAAATATCTTTCTCAAATCCTGAGCAGTAGGAAAATGGCTGGGGTCCAGGACAGAGCTGCAATTCAACCAGTTGAAGCCTGAAGGGGACAGTATGCCAAAGCCCAGGGCACGCTTACCCCTTCAGGGTGTGTAGCTGGTTTCTCAAGGTCTGATAAGAACTATCGTGAAGAAAGCCAGAAATGGCTCCCGCCTAGGCTCTCCGAAACAGCTCTGCTGAGACACCTCAGCAGGGGCTCCCTGCTCCTTTCCTGGGCAGCTGCTTTTAAGATGAGGCTCTTGCCTCCCACCTGAGTTACACTGCAGCCACACCTGGGCCCAGCCCCGTACCCCATTGATGCAGACCCCAACCCACACATCTGTCATTCCAGCTTGACCTTGGGTCTGCTCCATCACCATGGACTTGCCTCGTGATCGGACTCTTGGGGGAACGTCACTGCTACCACCAGAGCTGCCCTGCTCGCCTTGCTCAAGGAGGGTGGGACTGGGCCAGGGTGCTGGGACACCGGCCTCCACTTGCTCTGTTATTGTGCTCAGCTCCCCTTGGGGAGCATCCAACCCTTGCTGTGCCCTGGCACCCTAACTCTGATGCTGCCACACAGCAGAGCAGTGAATTCTCTTCCCCATTCCAAATACACGTTTATCTGAAGTCAGATAACACCTTTTGTCAGTTATGCTAGCTCTAGGGGTGTCAGGGAGCAGCAGGAGTAGGGCTGCTTTGCAAGGGAGGACGAGCCAGGAGCAGAGGTGACCACAGTGCAAGCAAGGGCAGTGACCTCAATGACCACAGTGCAGTCCTGAAGTTTCTGAATGGGAACAGGTATGTAGTAGTGGCTGGATCCAGCAAAAACCCCAGACACAGCAAAGTAGAGTCAAGCCCAGGACTACCTATAATATGTGTCCCAGGTCCATCCAGGAGGCAGGACTGAAGATGACGCTACCTGCAGCACAGGTTCACAGTCTGTGCAAGAAGACCAGCCTGTATGTCAGGACAACAGGAAACAGGACTGGACATGCATACCTACAGCATAGCTCAGGTCATGTCTCCATGTCCAGGCCTAAGTTCACATGTTGCCCATGGGTTTGTGGCCAGAGGGTGTGTGGGTGGAGGCCACAGCTGAGGCTGGCCAGGTGAATTACAGGGCTACTAGTGCACTCAGGGCTCTGACAGCAGCTTCTTCTCCCATCAAGGTGTGTCCTCTCACCTTGCAAAGATCTGGCTTCAGAAGTGTACCCCTTGTGAAATGGTCTTGTTGCTACTTGCTGTTGTGGGCCCAGGCCAAGGAAGAGTCATCACAGGGCTACTTCAGGGTGATACAGAGCCAGGTCAAGAACATGTCATGAGCTGGGATGAAAACATGGACGTAAGACAGACACAGAGGACCATGACAAGGTCACAAAGCCAAGGCTGGGACATGGCATGAGCAAGTTGGAGCTAGACCATGGAACAGAGCCAGGGCAGTTATGGAGCTGGCACAGAGATGTGACATGGGGGACCTGAAGTGGGACGGGAATATCAAATCCCAATCAAGTCCAAGGTCCATCCAAGAAAAAGGGCTACCTATAATGTGAGTCTGAGGTCCACTCAAGAGACAGGGCCAGAAACAAGACTGGAGATGAGGTCACTGACAATTCAGGTCCGTGGTCCATCCAGGAAGACTAGCCAGTAAGTCAGAACAGAAAGGAGCACGGAATTCCAGCTCTGAAGGTGCTCAGTTCCCTAGCTCTAATATTAACCATGGCCCTAACACACAGGAGTTTGGGACTCCACTCCAAACGTATCTCCAAACGTGCATTGAACTTAAACTCCTTCCAGACAGCAGCCTCTTCCTAGCTCTCAAGCATGAGGAGGACTCCAGTGGGATTCCAGCTCTGGAGACTCTCAGTTCCCCAATCTCCATACCACCCCCAACTCTCCTGCAGCTGAGCCTAAGGAGTCCCATGCCAGTAAGTATGTTGAACTGCCACTCCACTCTCACCAAACATCTCTGGGTTGAGATGGCTCCGCTGGAATTTCCCTGTGGTCCTACTCAGCCTGGAAAGTAAGGTGAGGGTTTGGTGCTGTACAGAGCTCTAACTCTAGGGTTTTGAGCTGAGAGGGATCTCCCAGTATATGACTGTGGATTAGGTGGTCAGGCAATCGAGGGCTTTCTAAGCTGGAGCTGCGCTGCAGTCCTGATAAATCCTGAGAGGCAGAGCGTGGACTGTGGTAGAGACCAAGCTGTAGCCCTACATTCATTTGGAGCAAACATTGCTCAGCAGACAGCATCTGCCCTTAAGCAGGGAGTTTCCCTATCATCTTGGCCCTTTCCTGTTCAAGTATCTCCCTATCCATCATTCTGCAGAGAATCCTGATCTCTCAGTGTATCGCTGACTGCCTTTTACTACAGAAAGAGACTTTGCTTTCATATACCATTTTTGTTCTGCCCAGTCTATGCACTGTCATGTCCCCTTCAGAACCCCCATACTCCAAATTTTTGGAAGACACCCATTTTTCTGCAAGATCCAGCTTTTCAGCCCTCTGGTCCAGTAAAATTGCAGGTTTTCATTATTAAGCCCAAGTTTCTTATAAAAGAAGCAGCTCATGAAAAATAAAGGACCGAGAGCTGAGAGATCTTGCTAAAATTAAATGCAACTTGTCGCCGGTATGGCATTTGTGTGCACAGTTGTAAGGAGGAGACTAGAGGCGAATGTGTGCCTTGGCCCAAGCGAGCCCTTTGGTTCCCTAGGGCAATGCCTTAATGACTAACCTGGGAGCGGGTGAAAGAAGAAAGGTTGGTTTTCCAAAGAAACTCTTGTTTTTCCTGGTAAAATGGAGCCACTCCCCGGAACACAATATGAGGTTAAGGGAGCCAAAAGGGGTACGTGGGTCCGATGAGTAAGGGTATCGCTGAAACAAACAGCATCAGGACCCAGCAATACTGCTGGCCTCTACCCAAACTCCACTTTTTTTTGGCTTTCAAAGCAGTATATTTATCACACCTATGTGTAGAACGAACCAACCCCACACGTACACCGCTGAGCCTCTGCGAGGTCCTACTGGAAGCAGAGCAACTTTCAGACGTGCTACGGGAATGCAGAGGCGTAACAGCATTGCGAGGGTCACCGCGCAGCACCCTCCCTGCCTTGCCGCTCCGCTGCTGCGAGCAGGCCCCAAGCCGCAAAATGGAGGCCGCGCCGGCTCCCAGCGCGCAGGCGCAGGCGCAGCAGCAGCAGCAGGGAGGGTGCTGCGCGGCGCGGGGTCGCCGGCTGGAGCAGCCTCTGCTCGGGCCTGAGGAGCGGGCGGCCGCCATGGGCAAGCGGGTGGCCCTGGTTCTCGCCGGCTGCGGCGTCTTCGATGGCAGCGAGATTCACGAGGCCTCGGCGGCGCTGGTGCACCTCAGCCGCGGCGGCGCGGAGGTAGGGGGGCGGCGGGGCCCCGCTCGCCGGCACTCCCGCGGGGCGTGTGCGGAGCCGGCTGTGACAGGCTCCCCGGGGGCGGGGAGGAGGAGGAGGAGGACTGTCTCCCCCGTGGTTTTGAGCCCCTCAGCAGCCGAGGGACCCCCTGTGCCGGGGCAGGCCATCCCGCGGCTCGGGCTGTTTGCGGGATAGGAGCCTCTCCCGCCTCACGGCGGTCTTTTCCCCGCCGCTGCGCACTACCAAGCCTGCTCCTAACCTCTCTCCTCCCTACCTTTTCCCTCCCGTCCTGTTTCACCCCCCTCCCCAGCGGTGCGAATGTCCCCCTGACAGGAGCGGCGGCCGCGGGGCGCGGGCAGGCGGCTGAACCGCGGAGCGGCGGGAGGCCTTGCCCTGCTCCTGAAGACGGGACCCGGCTAAAATTCCTGATCGGCTTTCCCATCGCTTTTGCAGAAGCCGGGCGCTCGCCCTCGCTCGGGTTCGCCCGCTCGTTTTCTGCCAGCTGTTCCTGGGCGTTTTCGGTAACCGGGGTTCCACGGAGAAGCCTGGAGCGGGATGTGGTGTGCTTTGGTCCCGCCCGTGGCTTCAGATGGCGGAAGGTGGTCGGTCGCTTTCTGCCTGTGTGTAGCTGCGCTCAGGTGTCTGATGGTAGCAGCAGCACCCCACGTTTACCACAAAATTGTCTTCTCTAAAATTAACTAAAGCGGAGAGTGCTCAGAAGTCTGCAAAGCAAGCATCAAAACAGATAGGTGAAAACAGCTCCTGCAGTACACCTTTCACAGAACTTTACGGTTTTGATGCAACTTTCCCCTTTTGTGCCTAACCAGCATATGTTCTTCCATTTTTTGCTTTTCCTTCCTGCTACCAGTCTTGTAGGAAAGTGACTAACTCTAATGTCTGCACTAGAAATGCTTCTAAAGTTTGCATCTTTATGTTTTAAACTTTTTTTTCTAAAACTCTTTTTTTAGCACTCCAATACCATAACAGTTAAGAGCAGCCTTTCTGTGGACTCAGCTGTGTGTCCAGTCAGGCTGCCGGTATAAATTGTGGTGCTCTGTTTGTCCTTGGGGTTATCTGCAGAGGGAAGGCAGGCCCTAGCAAAATCAGTAAGTTCAATGTTGGCGTAAGAGTGGACTCCTGTCAAAAACCTGCAGGAATAGGATAGGGAGGATGGCCAGGTCTACCCATCCTAATATGTCACCGGTCACTTTAGGTATTTAATGTGATAGATCCATCCTGTGGAATCCACTTCTCTTGGATAAGAGACTTCAGGAACAAAAACTGTATTGATTAAATGTTCTTTATTGTGATCAATATGCATGAGTTCTGTTTATGTTCACAAAATTGCTTCATCCCTATATTCTAGGTGAAGATATTTGCCCCTGATATTGAGCAAAGGGATGTAGTCAATCACCTAAAAGGAAGTCCAACAGAAGAGAAGAGAAATGTGTTAGTTGAAAGTGCCAGACTGGCAAGAGGAAACATTCAGGATTTGGCTGACCTGAAAGCTAGTGAATTTGATGCGGTCATTTTCCCTGGTAGGTGCTTTTAAAAGAAAATCAATTGTGGTTTTTCAATTGCAAATAACTGCTTTGCCTCTGCAACTTTTTAATTTTTAAATCCGTTTAGAAAATAAATCATACTCTTGAATTTGTGAGGTGTGTGGGTTTTCTCTTTCTTTTTACTTATTTTCTTTTGAGGATGAGAAAATGTTTCAGCAAGCTCTCATGGGCTGGCAAGTCATCTCAGTTTATTTATTAACTTATAGTTCATTAATTTTAAATGCTAGGGTATTCTTTTGGTGTTAGGTCATACATTGCACTGTTCCTTCTTTCTTAAGATTGTGAAAACTTTAGTACCTACTTGTGGACAAGAACACTGAACAGAGTAAAAAAGTAAGGCCAGAACTTGACATTACATGGTAATGCCTTATTTTTAGGGCCTCTGAAATTGTTGGCAGAATAGTAGGTTGCCAAGTAGACTATATTCCCTGTCAGATGTGAGTACATTTTGTTTTAATTATGTATCTGGTCTGCTGCTGATCAAGTTATACTAAACATGTTTATGGATAATTTTTTATTTATAGACCACAGAATTGCCTTTCAGACAGAAGTAATTGTAATCACTTTAGAAATGAAGAAACCAAAGCATCACGAGGAAATTGGGACTTGCTGAAGATCACTTTCCAGAATATTCATAGTACTGTTAAATATTGCCTTCACAACTGTGCCTAAGCATTAATTTTGAAGTTGTTACACTGCCTTCTGTTGTAAGGCCAGCAGAGGGAGTGGGTGTGTAACGCAGAGAAACATACTTCCAACGCTAAAATGAGTCGGTGACATCAGGGCTGATCAGGGAGTAGAGGCTAGCAAGTATTTTCGTTATTACTTTCATGCTGTTATAACCTAGGCTCAGGAGGGTTGCTGTAATAACTGTTAGAGGGAAAAAAACCCTATTAAGTTTGGAAATTAAAATCTTACCTCAGAGATTTCAGATAACATTCAAAAGTGAGCAAAGACTAAAAGGAAAAATATTAAAAATGCAAAGCTTCTTGATGTTGTTCATTGAAGTACTTGTGGAAATTTCTGTTTGTTTATTGTAGAGAAGTTGATGTTGCACACATTCTGTAAGGAATCAAATGTAATGGATGGTTACACTTACTAATAACCTTCTTTGATTATTCTGATGGTTATAAATCCAGTAAACGAAGGTGCTGTAAAATATAATCTGCTAGTACAATTAAATGAAGATTAAATGCAAGTAAAGGATTGTTATAACTAATTTCTAGAAAGACAAATCCAACATTATTTTTAATAGGAAATTATGTTATCATTCACAACTGGTATGTCTCAGAATATCATGTTATCATTTCCTTTTTATGTAATATCCATTTTGTTTTTATTGTGTTAACTTTTTTTTTAAAATCCAAAAATAATTCTAGGGAAGGAAAAAAGGTCTCATATTTGCTTAAATATTGAACTAAAACTTGAGAGTGAATTACTGTAGAGGGTCAAATCACTGTTTGCATTACTCTTGTGAATTGCACTCTTCTACTTTTAACTATCATTGGTCTTTCTTCTGATTTCTGTCTTGCTTATTGAGGGGTACATATCAGATGTTGCAGCTTTTCCAGTGACTAGCAAATGAATGTGAGGTTTCCTGTTTGTCCATTTGTTGCTCATTGAAGCAAGATTAAGCTTTCTGGCCTATGTAACATACGTGGTATAAAAACTGTGCAGTTAAACTTATAACACTGTAAACCCATCATGTTTCATGTGCTGAAGGCTTTCAGTATAGTAACTTAACGGTCCTATATATGCCAATCGTATGTTGTAAAAAAAGGAGAACTTCTGTCTGGTATTGAATTTAAAGGCTTTTAGCAGTGTCTTACATTTGAGCTCTTGGGGTTTTGGGTTTGCTTTTTTTTTTTTAGGTGGTTTTGGTGTAGCAAAGAACCTCTGTTCCTGGGCTGTAGATGGCAAGAACTGTACTGTCAATGAGCACGTGAACTCCACACTCCAAGCTTTCCACAGTGCTAAAAAGCCCATTGGTTTGTGCTGTATATCGCCAGTTCTGGCAGCTAAAGTCTTTCCTGGTTGTGAGGTCACGGTCGGCCAAGATAAAAACATAGATGGAAGGTAAGAAGAAAATGGATGGAGATAATTTACATGGGAATTAGGATTGGGAAATGGCCAGTCTTTTGTGCAAAAGTCTGAGGTCTCTGGTGCCAGTAAACCTTGGGTAACTTATTAGTGATATTTTTTACGTATTTCAAATTTTCACTTGCATAATAGTAGTAGGCACAGAACTCTGACGTACTGTGACAGAACTGATGTACTGTGGCTCTGCGTTTAAGACCTTGTTTTCAAAGATATCAGATCACTTGTTGTGTCCATAGGGGATGGAAGAACCTGATAGTGGCAGTCTGTTTGACTCCCTTGTCATCATCAACTGAAGAGTCACTTAAATATTATTATAGTTCTCTCAGTCAAGTTAATGTTGGCAGAACTTTATGGCTGTATCATCTCTTTATGTTAATTACAGTCTTTTATTTACAGATTTCCTGATGCTGAAACGGCATCTGCTATAGCAGAGCTTGGATGTAAGCACATTTGCAAAAACGTAAATGAATCCCATGTGGATAATGTCAATAAAATAGTTACTACCTGTGCTTTCATGTGCAAGGCTCCTCTGCATGAAATCTTTGATGGTATCGGAACAATGGTACAAGAAGTCCTGAAACTTGCCTGACTGGAAACGTACAGACTTCTGCAAGGAAATCAATTTAGCTAAGCATAAGTATTTAGCTTCCTTTGATTGTATTAATAAAATAATGCAACTACTGAACTTTACAGTTCCTGGTTGGTTTGTTGGTTTGGTTTTTTTTTAAATCTGTAATACATCAAGTGCTTATTGCTAAGTTTATCTTATTTATTTCTCTTAAAATAGAAAGCATGCGTTGAAGGTTGTTGTGGTGGTGATGGGGGTTTTCCCCCCTTTTTTTTTTCCTCATGAATCTGAATGTATTCAGTCTTGGTAAGATAATGTAGGAACCCTCCATGTCCAATGGGGTTTTATCACATCACTAATGATTATCAGTAACTCACATTTGGTGTTACCCATCTGTCATTACAGATGAAATAGCTGTAAATGAGTCTGTATACCTTCAGTATAGGTGAGTAATTAAATTCTACTTTCTGTTCGGAAGGGAAAAAGAAAAGAATGTGGTTATTGGGGGTTTTTTTCTTCCCTTGCAAGTCTTTAAGCAAGTATAACTAATAGACCTCCAGAATCTTTGCAGAGCCCCCTAGATAAACTGACTTTACAGACCAAGAGTCAGAGGCTTAAGTACAAATGAATACATTGCATGTGGAAAACACACAAGTTTTGCTCTAAT